AAAAAAAAAAAAAAAAAAAAAAAAAACGGCAAGAGAGGAGAAAGAGAGAGAGAGAGAGAGAGAGAGGGAAAAAAGAAGGCAAACACGAGCGTCTAGAAAAAATTAAAATGGCCGGAGCGCGGCCACTTAGCGAGTACTCTCGACGTAGTGGACACGTGTCTAAAGCGTGGCTAGAACCTTAACCACGTGTCAATATATCGAGGGACGTTTTGTTTACGAAAGTCATAGACGAGTCGAGACACGTTAAACATTTTTATCCGAGCTTTGGGAAAAAAAAAAAAAAAGGGAAAGAAAAAGTACGCAACGCTTACTACGCCTACCGTATGCACGCGCAGCTATAATGACCGATCGTTTGTATACGTTTCGTTTGGCGTGTAATAGACGCGTGTATACGATTCGTTTCAACGAACGACGCAACGCGCGTACACCGCGGACGTTGGACGAAACGAGGAACGCCGAAGCGAGAAATGGACAAAGAGACGCGGGCAAGAAACAAAAACACCGGGTCGATCGGTTTTTGTTTATTTTGCTCGCGGCGTGGCGATTCGCGAAATCAGTTGCGCGTAAAATCGTGTCCCGCTACCGTCGTACATTACCGTTTACGAAGGTTAGGTCGGGAAAAAGCGGTCACGTGATGCCATCGGCGCACACTTGTTGCGCACGCGAAGAACCACGCCGATAAATAATAGACGCCATGTTTTACTCACCTCGTGGCAGGAAGAAGACGAGAGGAACTGGCGAGATTCGTCCGGTAGGCATCGATCCCCATCGTACGTGCAGATTGCCAGCATCCGACGTAACGTGTTCCTTATCAACGAGCTTTTGCGCGCGCGCAAGCACGCATCCTCGGCGCGTGGGCAGGTCCGAGTAGAGTAGAGAAACCAGTAAAAGAGACTTCCCTCTCTGTCTCGTTCTTCTCTTCCACCGTGGCCACTCCACCGGGATTCTCTTTCTCCGTCCCGTGGTCGGTTACCTTGCCGGTAAAAACAGCACGAGGTGGCCGGTCGCGCGAACACGGGTAGGGGGATAGGCGTGGTTCGATTCTCGTAGGTGCACTCGGAAACGATAGTGTTCGTGCGTCCACCTCGCGCCTACTGAGCTCGGTTAGGCCGACGAGAACACGAAGGGGGGCGAGTCTGGCCGAACGGCGGCGGCCGTGGTGGGGATAGCTGTCACGGGCCGAGCGGTGGGGAGAGAAGGGGAGTTAAGGTTCGCACACACGAAAATCAGTGGGGACGCGGCCTGTGCACGTGTAGAGCGAGAGAGAGGGGCGAAGGGAGTCGAACACGGCCGAAGGTGAAACCCGCGAGCCGTCGTAGTCTCGCAGTCGGCGCGAGACCGCGCTACTGGAAGGGTCGGTGTGTTGTCATATATGCGAATGTATACGCAAAACGCCTCTCTCAGATTCTCTCTTTCCAACCGCACTCGTCTCGCAATCACCTCGCCTCGCACGAGAACACCGACAACGACCACCAACAAAAGCGTCGAACGACAGAAAATACACACACATATAGGAGAATACGCGGGAGGAAAGAAGAGACGAAATTGGCTGCGTGTCGCGAACCACCCCTTCCCGCTCGTCCAGTGACCGCCGAACCAGCGAAACGGTTTTTTTTCTTCGTCTCGTACACCGTTCGTAAACCGCACATCCGAAAGTTTCGAGTACACGCGATCGGATTCGGGGGGCCGTATCGCTGTGTACGACTAACGTTTACGGTTACGGGGTACCGACGACAACGACGCTCGAGCCGGGGGTGTGTGATCTTAGCGAAGAGGAGGACGAGAAGGAAGAAGAGCAAGAAGAAGAAGTAGTACGCGATCGGTCGACGAATACCGACGGACCGAAGAAGTCTGTGATCTCGATGTGCCTGGTTCTATATTATATTTACGAAACGTACCTCGGTTCGTAGGCGTGTTTGTGCGTAGAACTCGCCAACGGAGAACTTGCTGCCGGGGAATAGAAAAGTGCGTTCTCGCACCGAACGCGTGTGTGTTCAACGAGCAAAGGATACGCCGCTCGTCCATGGACCGTCGTCGTCCTCCTCCGATCCTCCTGCAACCGAGGACCGTTCCTTCCACCGTCCGAATCCTACTAGTGCCATTTTCTCCTCTCTGGAAGCAAGGTAAATAAAAGGCGAATGGAAGCAGCGAGAGAGACGGAGTCGTTGGCTAGCCACTACTAGCCGCTGCTAGCCGAAAGATAGCAAGAGGAAAAAGGAAAGATAAGAGGGACGACGGCGTCGGCGTCGACGGCGTGGATCGCGTGTGATACTTGATTTACGATCGATCGTCCGAGGATTATTGGTGTTGATTGTTGTTCGATAGCCGTCTCTATATTATTTTACCACTCCGGGTTGTGTTACCGAGCGCGAAAACGAACTCGTCGCGACGGGGGCCGAACACGATCGTTGCTGTGATAAAACGTACGATATTCGGTTTAAAAGTATACAAAAGTTCAGTGTGCCTGCCTCTGTGACCCGTGACATCGCCACCATCCGTCGGAAGTTACCTCGAAACCGTGGACCGGGCCTCCCTTAAGTGTCGCACGTTGCGAGGAGTTGAATTTTCAGAAGATCGGATGCGCGGCCGCCTCTAACGATCACCGGGTAAGCCATAAAAGGCGAATTTCTTTTACCTCGTTCCGTCGACATCGCGGAACATGTCGCGACTGAGAGATACACGCGTTATCGTCTATCAGTCGAGTGCCCGTGCGACAGGGTTATTCGATCACTGTTAAATCCGTACAACGTAATTATCGATACCGATCGTATTTCCTATCTATCCAATTCCCGCTGAGAGAGGTTCGCGCGTTAACGACTCTTGCCGTTTCATGCTCCCCGACTCGCCGAGGTAAACAATTCGTCGGCCATTTTTAACGAATGCCGTGCGTTTTGCACGCGCATGCGTCGCGTAATTTTTCGTCGCGAACAACCACGCTTTGGCGAAAAATTCGCGTTCGCGCGAGTCGGCAGAGTCGCGGAAAAATCGTTGGCGCGAGTGGTAAAACGATTGGCAAAGTATTCGAGGAGAGGAAGTTTCGCGTAAAAGGGCTGGAAGAGCGACGCGATAGCCAATAATTGATATCAAAGCGGCGCCTTTTCTCACCCTCTCGACGACGTCGACGACAACGACGTCGGGGATGATACGTGTCGGGGGTACATTTATAATCCGTGTCACACAACTCCGCTGTCGTCGTGGTCGTCACGTGCGAGGGCGGTTTAATGCCATGCGTCGAGCTCGTTGGAGCGTCGCGGCGCTAAGCGTCGGAAGTAGAGCGGATGCGCGTGTTACGGCGAACGCGCGTGAACATCTCTTTTCACGCTCGACCTTTTCCGTCCTATAACGTCGCAACGAATTTATAAGCTCGTTTAATTTTATCATCGACAGATCAAACTTCTCGCGGTCTCCGGGCGAGAGCGTTTTTCCTCCGTGAGTTTCCTCGCGTGGCCACGGGACCGACGCCATTCTTCCGCTCCTTTGCTTTTTCTCTATTTTGTTTTCTTTTTTCCATTTTATTTTTCCCCCCTCCTCGCTCCGCCGTCCGCTTGTTTACACCTGTGCACCGGTGTCGGTAAAAACTTTTTTTTGTCGCGGGTGAAGCGTCTTCGGGCGCGCAGCGGCTGGCTGCGTCACGTGCGAGGGTGGCTTAATATCGGAAGTGGAGCGAACACGCGCGTTAGCCCAGCCACGTAGAACGATCTGCTACGACCAATCTCTTTTACGCGTGTCCCTTCACGGCTCGTGACTCCGATGCGCGTGCTAAGCGTGACGCGCGCGCGTGCTAATCCTTTGTGTCGACGATGTTGCCAACGCACCAGCGGCGCGTCCGTTTCGCTGAAAATTCCCAGACCTTCCGAGTGACCCCGACTTTGTTACAATGTACGAAACGCAGAAGCGGAAGGTACAATGTACGATCGTTCCCGGGCATCATTTCCGCCATTGACGCACAGCGGCGGCATTAAACACTCGCCGCGTGAAATTATTCGCGCGCACGACGCCGAGCAGGAGGAAGGCTAATCGTGCGAACCGTAGGCTCTATTGTCTTAATCGGACCTATACGCGACGATAAGCCACCGAGTCAGCGTTCCTCTTTCGGCGGTAGAAAAAGCGAGACGGTGCGAGACGGCGGTGCACCAGGTGTCAGGTGTCACGGCTGTCCGGTTTCGTTTGCAAACACGCCGAACAACAAGAGCGTTTCTCGTCGATCCTTCTCGAGTGCTCTCCTCCTCCAGGTGGTGGTTCCTCCTGCGCTTCTTAAAGCCTCTGCGAGAAAATATTGTTTTTGCTCCTCGACTTCGTCAAACGAGACCCCCCTCTTATTTTCCTTCTTCCTCTGCTTCTTTTTCCCACCCCCTCTGTCCGATCCCAGGATTCGACTCGCGCGAATTCGATGGACCAATGGGTGTGTCCTTTGGCTGGGACCACCAGCACCACCACCACCACCACCACCACCACCATCGCCACCGCCACCGCCACCGTGTGTCACCGTGATCTAGAACCGCGGCGAGCGTACGCGTCACTCGGTTGCCCTGCACGATTGCACAACGCGCAACGTGTTCGGGGCCCGATGACGACGACGACGATGACGATCGCGTTCGAGAGGTCGCCACGGTGGAAAGGATCGCGGAGCGCCGCCCATCGGCCGACTCGCTCGTCATTCGTCGATCCGTATCTACGTGCACGATTTATCGTGCTTTATGCACATATTCGCGCCCGCCGGTCGCTCTCGCTGGCGGTGCAGCGTTGCGCGCCGCGCGCCGCATGCGGGCAGCTGCATCGAGACCAGGGCCGCCCTGCGCATAATGATACATTGCGCCGGACATGAAAGTTATAAGCTTTAATTCGAGGCTCGCGCGATTCGCCGTACGGTGACCGTATATCGATCGCCAATTTGCTATGCAGATCCAAGGCCTTTCGGTGCGCTCCCCGACGCAGCCCCTGCAATCTTCCCTCCCCCTACCCTTCCGCCCTTTCCACCCTTTTCCATCGGACTGGCCGCGCGCGAGGGCCCTCTCGCTCTCGCACCGGGGCGCGCAGTCGCCGCGCAGAAATAGAATAAGCGAGGATTAAAGTACGCGCTATCTCCGCGATAAGATTATACTCCGCAGAGGATCCCAACGACCGCGATTACGCGCCCCGCCCTCCCTCCCCGCTCGCTCCTGCGCCATCCTGCAGGATCGCCATCGCGTTGCTCTCGTCCACCCTCGTCGTCCCACCGTTCTTCTCGACCGAATTCGATCTGGACCTCTGCCGGGGCGCACCGTTCCCCCTCGTCGACGGATCCGAAGGAGGAGCGGGGAACGTCGGGATCCGGGAGAAGACGCCTCTGGGATCGCGCAGGATGCTCGGACGCGAGCAATCTGTGTTGCGGCGCGGCGTCGCAATTAGGGAATCCATTTGGCGTAATTGCGCGAACGAACGGCGATGGCCGGTAGCGAGCCATGGTCGTTCCACGGCTACCGCGCTTAATCAAACGCCCGTAGTCATCCGCTCGAAGCGTTTACCTGTGCCCATAGACCGATATCGAGGGCCGCCATATCTGTTCGCGTTTACAGCCTCCCCGCGGATACGCGAGCTTTCGAGGCGGTACGCCCGATCGTTCTTTCCCATCCGAGTGTGTCGATTCGACGAGATGGGGCCCTGTATCGGGGCCCGATCGCGGTAGCCAATCGTCCGGCGCGCCGCGAAGGACGAACACGATAACAAAGACGACGTTGTCGATCGTCGACGATCGTGATGGCCGCCGATTAACGATTTAACGATCCCCGCTCGGCAGACTGCGGTAAATTGTAGGTATGTTCCGCGAGACTGAACGCCGCGCCTCCGCTCCATCCTTTCCGACTATACGCGAAATTCTCATTCCATCGAGATAATTCGCGAAAATTTCATACGGCTTTTAACGCGAGAATCCGAGTAACTTTCTCGTTCAAAGGAATCCTTTCGGATTCTTCTTCCGTTATGCCGGAATCTCCGTTATTTCCCGCGACCAGGCTGGGACAAAGGGACACGCGTTCCACGATAGATGTTTATCGGCCTAGTGGTGTATAGTGCGTAGGACCGAAATTGTCCACCTGTGACGCAGGTCGAGACAGAGGTACGGATGGGTAACGATAATTAAAGGGGGATAATGAAAATGGACACGTATACGTAATTATATCTATCTCGACGAGGATCGACATAAATTTCGGCGAAAAGCAGCTGCGAGTTTTCGAGGGAAAAATCCGCGGCCAGTGGTTTCGACTGGTTCCTGGTAGCCGCGATGGCGTGTAGCAGAGGACGCGCTCTAGATCGGCAGTGGATATCTAGCCGATCTTTTGTCCTGCCTCGCGAGCTGGTCCGTGGCTCGCGTAATTTCGAACACGGTACGCCCACGGAAATCGGACGACGGCGTCCGTAATGATCGGCCATTATGTTAATCGCGCGCGAGGACAAATCTCGCGCGATGATACACGCGCGGTGAATTGTCACCTGCGTGTACAAAGACTGTGCACGCATCGCGGGCAGAGAGAGAGATATGCGATGCAAATTGCAGGCTGGTCGCGTTCGTAGTTCGCGCTTAGAGCTACGTGGCTATTATGTTGGAAATGTAAACGCCACATAAAGGACACTGCGCATTGTTAGACTAATGGCCTAATGAACCGAACGCAACGTCTTGACGGAAGAAAGGATCGAATGATACGTTTGACCCGCGGTGAAGCGAGGCGGAGCCGGTGGTGAAAAACTCGCCACGAAATTTAGGTTAGAGGTGACTCGCAGTGTCACCAGCCATTTCTTATGCGGCATTTGCCAACGTAAATGTACATATTCGATCATAAACCGCGCGTATAAATACTCCGTACCAGCGTAATTAAATATTTATGTACGGCAGACTCTCGACGCGGCTAGCGTGTACCGCGTTCTAGCAAATCCACGCCAATTTTTCTCCCGTAACGCGCATAATCTAAACTCATTCCACCGATTATGCTACGATACATTTTATTTTTTTACCGAATCAAGCGATATCTTATCGACTATAGTACGCGAGAAATATTTTATTCCATTGAAATCGGATAAAAATTGAATCACGCGAATTACGATTACGGATAACCACGGAGGAAACAATCTCGTGCCCCATTAGAGCGGATTTAAAAGGAGAATCGCGTTACGCGAGATCCTCGTAGGCACTCTTTACGCGAATATTTTTATACACGCTCAACGCGAGGACGCGTGGGTACGGGGGGTAAGGGAGGAGACGAAAAATTTCGAAATATCGACTGGGTGGAGGACGAAATTTAAACACCGCGACGACGACAGTCGGACCAACGTTATAAATAAAACGACACCGCGGGAACGAGCCGGGGAAACAGGTAGAAACACTGGGATCGAAGCGGTGCGTGAATCTTCGTCTATTTAATTCGTCGGCCGGACGATAAAAGATCGGGACGCGGCAGCGCGTGGGTGGCTGGCCATGAAGTTTCCTCATCGACTCGCAGGTGTAACGCTGGTTAACACACGACCGATCCCTTCCGACGATATATTATCCTCCGGTTGTCCCTGGTCGATCTCCAACGAGAATTATGTGGAAAGTACCGCGCGGCTTGCGTAAAAGCGCCTGCCTATTCCTCTC